TGATGTGCATTTGAAATACAATTGGAGCAGTTTGTTCCAGTCCACTTCTAGTTTTATCCTCACCCCTACTTCCCATCCTCATTAATTTAATTTAATTTTTCAGATATGTAGAACATTCATGTATTCCAAATGTAGAAATTATGCAAAAAGCTATACAGTACTCTGAGAAGTGTCCCCCGCTGCCATATCCTTCTACGCAGTCACCCAGTCTCCCCACCACCTAGCATGTCCCCATGCAGATCAACAGCTTCACTGTGGTCTGGTTGGTTTGTCCTGTGTTTCTTTTTGGAAAGATAAGCAGATTTATGTCTCTCCCTTTCCTAAGTGCCCAGATTTCATTCATCTTCCAAATCTTACATGCTTGATGGTGGTCTTCCCATTTTACTGACGAGGAAACTGAGGCTCCTCATCTGTACTGTTGCAAACCTTTGTGCCTGTTGATAAATGGCCTGTTTTCGGTGCTTTATAGTTCGGATGGAGCTGATTAAGATGCCCCGAATCACGGAACATGCGGGCAGCGGCATGCAGCTTTTATGCATGCAGTTGTGCCACACCTCCCCCTGCAAAGTCCCGGGTCTGGGCAGACTGCCTCTTCATCTGGTTTTTAAGGCTGGATTGACATTTTAGACTGGAGTTTGCAGTGTTCTTAGCATATCACACAGGCTTAAATCAGGGTGTGGGACCTGGCTGGGAGGGTTTTGTACTTTTTTTAATTCAGGTGATATTTACATAAAATTAACCATTTTAATGTGTACAATTCAGTGGTATTTACTACATTCATGATGATGTGCAACCATAACTCTATCAGGCTCCAAAACATTTTTATCTCCCTCAAAGGAGACCTATAACCACTAAGCGGTCACTGCCCACTTCTCTGCTTCCCCCAGCACCTGGCAACCACTGATCTGCTTTCTGTCTCTGTGGATTTACCTATTTTTGAAATTTTGTGTAAATGAAACCATACCATATATGACCTTTTGTGTCTAACTTCTTTCACTTGGCATGATGTTACAGCTTGGTACATTGCGACATGTATCAATACTCCGTTCCTTTTTATGGCTGAATAATATTCCGTTGTGTGGACACACCACATTTTGTTTATCCATTCACCAGCTGATGGACATCTGGGAGGGTTTTGAGTGAAACTGGGGAGAAGAGTGGCTTGTACTCTGCCCTTGCTGTGTGACTTCCTAGCCATGTGACCATGGACAAGCTACTAGACTGGTTTGTGCCTCAGTTTCCTTATTTGTTAAATGAGAGTGATAATAATATCTAACTTTTCAAGTGATTGAAGGATTGAATATGATAAAATATGAAAAGTTCATAGCACACAATGGCAAATAGTGGGCCCCTATAAACATTAGCTGTTCTACTATAGGATTGTATGAGGAGAAGGGTGGGTGGGGAGGAGAGGGGTGGGTGAAGAGGAGAGAGAACACAAATTTGTGTTATAGTAGGTGTTTTAGTATGTGTTTGTTCTGTTGTAGCTGCTCAAACCTTTGTGCTTTGTTAAAAAAAAAAAAAATGCCAATCTGTGTTCTCTGCTTTGTGGTTTTCGTGTCCCCCCCACCACTGAACACGGGCTTTTACGTTTAGAAGCAGTTCACTAGACAGAATGTCTGTAGTGGAATGTTACATAATTCACATTTAGATTTGAAGAGCTCGTTATAAAAAACCTGACACACTTCAGGAATATTAAATTACTGCAGATTGTGTGGAGCAAAGAAACATTATTGAAGCATTTCAAAATTCTAGGCGAGCCTGAATTTAACTGATAGGGTTTCACAGCTTTTACCGGGGAAAAATGATTTGAGCTGTCACATGGTTTCTGGCCCTGGAGGACTTTAATCTCCTTAATTACAAAGAAACGAATTTCCTAAATAATTTGGAGTTACTTCACAGCATTTGCTCAACCTCTGGCTTTTGGAAAATTAAAGGGACTGCCAGAGTCCGGGCCATGGTACTCTCTCTACATACCGCAGCTTTCCTGTTTAAGTTTTTATTTGAAATGATGCTGGTTTTGTTTCATTATTGCTATAGGGATGTACTTCAGAAATTCACCAATAATGCTTGTGGCACTTGAACACAATCACATTTTGTCGAACAAGTGACGCTGGAGATACCCACAGGATAGAGAGAGGTGCTATGTTGTGGCTTACAAAGTTGAAGAGGAGAAAATGGCCCAAATCCAATATGCTGACTTTTAAGAATGCTTGAAATTGTGTAAAATCCGTATATTTCAGCTCATTTCAGTATTTGTGGATTAGGTACCTACTGTGTGCAAGACCAGCATGATGGAAATATCTTAGATTCTACCATTTCCTCACTTAATCCTTAGAAAGCAGACTTAACCTGCCTTAATTTCCTCCTCTGTAAAAGGAGGATAATAATATAGACTTGTGGCTACATACCAGCCATGTGACCTTGAGCAATTAACATAGGAAACTATTAGTGCCTGATGTTTATGAAGTGCTTGCCCGGAGATGTGCCAGGCACTCTTCTAAGCTTGTTACACCTTTGATCACCTTCATTTCCACAGCATCTCCATGAAGTTGCTACTGCTATCCCCATTATACAGATAGAGAAACTGAGGTAAAGACGGGTTGAGTAACGTCCTCAATGTCACATTGCTTGTAAGTGGCTCAAACTATACAGTTGGCCAAAAATCAGATCATAACTTAAGTAGGGAGAGATTCCATTTAACAGAGGGATCAGAAAATCTTTCTGCCTAAGATACTTTGAACTAAACCTTGAGGGGTTGGTAGAATGTCAAGGCAAGTTGTAAAGAAAGATTGCATAGAAAGGTAACAGCACAAGGAAAAATTGAGAAGATGGGAAGTATATCACCTCCCTACTAGACTTATGCTTCCTTTTATTAGTTTCGTTGTTAATTTCAAGCCTCCTTGCACATGCTGGTCTTTCTGCTTGAAACAACCATTCATTCATTTATTAGACATTTATTGAGTACCCATTGCTCCTTTCCCTTATCATCCACCTGGCAGAAGCATCATTCTTCGAGATGCCGCAGTGAAGGGCTTCTTCTCTGTGAAGCTTTATTGACTTCCAAGCAAAGATGAGCACTTGTGCCTTTGTGCCCCAGTATGCCTGGTATTTGCCTGTTTTTGTTCTGGTCATGTGTATTGCAGTCCCTTACATGACTGACACCTCTGCTAGACTGAGTTTTAAGATCAGGAATCAGGCTTTGACCTTGTGCTCTTGCCCAGCATGGTTGTGCAGTAAATGTCTGTTGACATGAATGAGCCAGCGACTGCACCTGGCCCATAGTAGGTTCTTAGTAAATATTTGTTGCAGTGAAATGATAAGTATTATTAATAAAATTAATAAATTAATAAAATTAAGTATGTCCATATATGACTGAGTTTTGTGACTCTGTCGTCTCATGGAATGTTGTCTTTTGCAGGGGAGAGGTTAGGTAGCGGATGAGTGCTAGTGCATAGTGCAGATAGATGGCACAAAAGTGGCAGGAAAAGTTCTCATTTTCTACACATGATTTCACAGACCCCATTCTAGGAAGGTAATTTTCCGTTTTCCTTAGTTGTAGCCTTAGATCCTCTAGTTCAGGCATCTCTCATTCAGGGCCAGTGTCCTTTTTAAAAAACAGTTCATTTGTTACAAACAAACCAGATGTCTTGGGATAAGGTGGGAATTTCCTTATATTTAAGCCTTATTATAATTTTATGTGGCTTTTATATAGACCTTTTAGTTAAGCCATCATTTTTTTTTTTTTTTTTTGGTGAGGAAGATCAGCCCTGAGCTAACGTCTGTTGCCAGTCCTCCTCTTTGTGCTGAGGAAGATTGGCCCTGGGCTAACATCCGTGCCCATCTTCCTCTACTTTATATGTGGGACGTCGCCACAGCATGATAGGTAAGCCATCTTTAATTGTCATGATTAAGAGGTTTGGGTCATTCTTCTTTTTGCACTGAAAGTTGGATTGAAGGTCAGCTTTTGCAGACGAAACAGTTCTAGATCTGCAGAATGAGCTAAGAATTGGCTGCATGGTTTGAAGATCCATTTCCAGTAGCTTTATCTTAATATTCTTTAAAAATGGGTAACTAGTGAAATGTTTATTTTTGACTGCACTCTCAGATATGACTATCAGATAAATAGTCATTGGGAAAGACTGTTGACTTGACACAGAGAATACATTCACTCAATTTAAATGAAATGGAATGAGATACTGTATGTGAAGCAGTAGCTGAGGGCATAGTATATAGTAAGTGTATAGTAAATACTGGCTGTAATTGAAGTGGTTGTATTATCATTATTATCTCTTCCCAGCACAGTGTCTGAACTTAACAGTACCTAGAAGTGTGCAGTGCATAGTTATTAAACAAAGAATGAATGAAATGTGTCTCCCTGCTTCTTTTCTTTTCTTTTTCTCCTCACATTACATGCTTGTCTGCTCTTATAGCTGGGGGAAAAGCTGACATAAAAATTGGCTTGCTGGAAAGTTTCTCAGCCCCATTTGTCACTTTACCCTTGGAGCCCAATTGTATGTCAACTCCATGTCCCCTCTGATGCCTGCCAGTGAGGGACAGACCACAGGTCACTTCCTTATGATCTGCTTTAGCTGCCAAGGCTCTGATCAAGCTTGGCTGATGGATGGGTGCCTGTTGTTGAAAACGTCTCCACAGGGCTAGTCAGGAAATACGCCTTTGCTCTATTTGCTGGGTGGCATCTAGTGATTGAAAATACGAAACATGGAAAACAAAGAGTTGGGTTTTGCCCTTCTTGAAAGTCCAGAGTTTTAAGGATCTATTCTGAGTTAACCTAGTTTGAGAAAGAGTTTGCATAGACTCTCATTCCTGTGCTAGGTGAGCCCTGTCAATGACTTGGTGAAGTCATGCGAGCAGTTTGTACACGGAGACCAAGATTTTCCTGTTTTTGTGTGTTTGCCAGTTCATTTCTTTCCCCTAATTTCTGTTTAACTTCGAAAGGGTGATTATTCTGAACGTTCTCTTTCCCCTTTGCAGCACTCGAAAGGAGTGAATGAAATGTGCGGCTCGGGGTGTCATTTCTGAAGGGAGGAGTCGTTCTCTTGGAGAGGAGTCCTCAATGAGCCTGGCCGAGGCCCGGGATCTGTGTGAAGTGGACTAAGGATTTAGTAGGATGTCAACTGAGACAGAACTTCAAGTAGCTGTGAAAACCAGCGCCAAGAAAGACTCCAGAAAGAAAGGTAGGGCCGAATTGGTTCCTTTCCTAGTGACTACTTATCTGTACAGGAATGGGGCTTTTTTAAATCTCTGGAATGGTATATAGTACTATCTTTGTGATTGCATATCTTTTTTAATAGTCACCAGCATTATTTGGTGTTTTTTCTACTCATAGTATAATATTTGAATGGCTCTCCATTCTCTGTGTAAAATCCAAAAATCTTTTCAAAATATACAAAGCCCTTCTTGAGATGCTTTCTGCCCATCCCTCCAGCAACCTCTCTGCCTGAGCCACCCAGTCCCGCCAGCCAGCCCTGTTTACCCTCCAGGCATTCTGTCTGTTGCAGTTCGCCTTTGCTTATCCCAGTGGTTCTCAGCCTCCAGCAGCACCAGAATCACCTGGAGGGCTTGTTAAAACAAGATTGCTGAGTCTCTTCCCCAGAGTTTTGCATTCGCTGGGTCTGGGTTGGGGCCCAGACTGCGTTTATAACAAGTTCCCGGAGGACGCTGCTGCTGTTGGTTCAGAGACCAGACTTTGAGAGCCACTGGACCGTCAAGCCAGCCGGAAGTCTTTTGTTGCTCTCCACTCTTTGATACCGACTCTTACTTATTGTTCAGGTTTGACCTTAGTGGGACCCTCTGGGGGGCCTTTCCTTACTCCTCAAGTTGGGTGAATTGCTTTTGTTTTGTTTCGCTTTAGTAGCACTTTGTTAGTATCTCACTTTATTAAAAATGTCCTGTGTTTTTGTTTGTTGGCTGTAGTATACACTCCTTCAGAGCTGGACCTCTTGTTCATCCTTTAACTCCCAACACTTAGAAAGTGCCTGGAGAGGAGGCACACAGATATCTGGTAATGAAGACTCGCATGCATAGTGTGATAATAAAACGACTGTATCACTTTGCATGTTTTCTAGAGGATGTGGTCTTATGGCTTTATGACCAAACCTTTCAGTAAGTTTGTTCCCTTGTAATTAGATGTAAGCAACTTCTTACTTTGTGTGTGTGTGTGTTTTCTCCCTGTGGTTTCAGCTCTTTCCCTCCCCTGTCTTCTTAGCTGCATGGAAGAGGATTAAGAGAGCTCTCTTTCAGGTTTTGAAATCTGTCAGTATGGGCCTGCAAACTGAGATGCCCTTGGTTGCCTTGTCTGGGCAGTGATTTGTTAGAGACATCTCTGTGCCTGCCCAGTCATGCTTTGTGATGGCATTTGTCTGACACTCTATAGGAAGCAAGGGATGTAAATGTAATTACATATGCAGCTCTTGGACAGCCAAAACCCAGGAAGGACTGTAAATTTTGCTTTAGATGTTTATTTGAAACACAAATATTTTAGAATCAGTTTATTTTATTCCCTAAAACTTAATGTAAACCTTGTTTTTTTATGCATCATGGTCTAAGAATAATAAAAGGAAAGCAAGTGGGTGAGAGAACAGGTCTTAGGAGAACTGCTACATGGGAAAAAAAAAAAGATAGCAGAGCCCGGTATGTGCTAGAATTCAAATGCTTTTTCAGTGGAAACTGACAAGTTATATTTTTGCTTCAAATTTAACCTTTGCACTAAACTTGTGCTCTTGAATGCTTAATGCATTAAAAATTGTATCTTAGTGCATATCTTTTCATTCTTAATTTTAACATGCAAAACCAGAAGCATTCTAAAGAGAGAATTCAAGTTTTCAGAACATTGGCTTTGCTGAAGATTTGGAATGGGAGCCTGAAGGTGACCTTTTTGGACCCTCCTCATCTTTATGTCCTGAGAAGCTCTAAAATCAGCACAGTACACACGCAAGGAGTATCCTCTAATGAGTGGCTAACACCATGGAGTTTGGGCAGGCAAACCTGCGTTCAAATTCTGGCTATACCACTTCCTAACTATGTGACCTTAGCACATCACTTAACCTCTCTGAGCCTGTTTCCTTTCCTATAAAATGAGGATATAATATTATAAACCTCAAATGCGTACTATGAAGATTAATTGAAATAAGGCAAATAAAACACATAGTGTAGGGGTTGGCCCCGTGGCCTAACGGTCAAGTTCGGCAAGCTCTGCTTCAGCTGCTTGGGTTTGGATCCTGGGTGCAGACCTATGTACCGCTCATCAAGCCATGCTGTGGTGGCGTCCCACGTACAAAATAGAGGAAGATTGGCACGGATGTTAGCTCAGGGACAATCTTCCTCAAGCAAAAGGAGAAAGATTGGCAACAGATGTTAGCTCAGGGCCAATCTTCCTCACAAAAAAAAACACAACCAAAAAAAAGGAAGATTGGTGCCAGATGTTAGGGCAAGTCTTCCTCAGCAAAACAAACAAAACAAAACAAAACAGAAACCACTTAGTGTAGCGCTTGGCATGTACTAAAAGCTCAATAAAGTTTAGCTGTGTTCTTCCTCCTCTTTTTCTTCTTTCCCCTCTCCACTCCTCCTCTCCTTACCTCTTGTCATCCCTTTCCTTCCCTGTCATCTTCTCCATTTTTCCTCCTCTCCTTTTTTTTCTCTATTTCTCTTTTCCCATTTCCACTCTTCCTCCTCCTCTTCCTTTTCTTCATCATCATCATCACACTGTTTTCTCTTACCCCACTCTCAAGCCAAGGGGATCTGAAAAAAGTGTAGAGCTGATTTGTGGCAGAGTAAGATTTTATGATTGTAATTATGCAACAATGATAAACAGTCTTTATTCTCAGTATACCTGCCTGGACCAAGGCACCATGAAAGCACACTCGTATGTTAAAAAGAGAGAGAGAATCCTGGTGACAAGATTAATTTATTTTTTGTTCTTCAGTTTTGACTATGGGATAGTAAGTATTCCATTAAACAAATGTTTAACAATATTAAACAACATTTGTTGCTAATTGGGCCAAAATAAGTTGAACTTTTAAAGGAAATAAATAGTTTATATAGTGATCTTAAATCTTGAATATAATAGTATTGCTAAACTCTTACTAATGTTTTCTCCAACTTCTCTTTGATTTTCTATGGAGGCAACATATAACCTTATAAGTAAGTTTCTGTCTTTCTTTCCAGTCCTTAAGAACTTATTCTTTTTCTTGTTTTATTGCATTGGCTGGGTCTGTCAGTACAATATTTAGTGATAGTAGGTATCCTTAATTTGTTCTTAAATTAATGGAAATGCTTCTAAATTACCTGTGTGATATTTAGGTTTTTACTAAAGTTTCTTTATTAGTTCCCTTTCATTTATCATTTTCTAGGAAGTATTTTTTTTAAATCCAGAATTTGCACATCAGATTTTATCATATGCTTTTTAAAATATTTATTTCAATGATTATACATATTTTTCCTCTTTTAATTTATATTGTGGTGGATTTCTCTGATAAATTTTCTAATCTTCATTTCTGAAGTAAATCCTACTTGTTCATGATGTATTGTTACTTCCTTCTTGGCTGACTTTTCAAGATAATATGTGCCAGAGATCATGCTATTCATACAGTTTTACATCCTGCTTTGTTATTTGACTTTATATCATAAGTACATTTCTCATATTATTACATGATATTACAGAATAGAATTTTCCACCTTTGGCAAGATTTAGATGGTTCCTGCGACAGATATTTTATTTCCTAAAAAAAGAATACCTGACAACGTGGGTCATCTATCGTGAGAAAGAGTGGCATAAAGAAAGTTAAGATGCTTTTTAGAATTTCTCACAAACCTGTCACCTGGCTCTTTAACCCAGGCTGTTGAAAGCAAGTCAGACAGTTTCAAATACAAGCCATACAGGGGCATATTTTACCACAAAATGAGTTTCTAGACAGGCCATCTATGAGACATAACTAGAGTATTCACAATTCCAATAAGGAAGGGATGAAAGCAGTGAGAAATAAAGTTGTTTTCTTCATTCCGTTTTATTGGATTGTGTCACCACGCATACAGCTTGTCAAACGGTGCCTGTTCCAGGAGTGGAATTTAATGGAGGACAGGAGGAAGAGAATGCGTATTTTCAGGTCCGTTACCTGTCATCAAAGGGGGAAAATCAGTTGACACAATTCTTGTTACTTATAATCCCCACATTAGGAGCCAGGAGAAGACTGTGGTGGAGGAGCCAGTCCCAGGATGAGTAGACGCAGACATTTCTGGGGGCAGCGCCTGGAGTTTTTCAGCAAGCGCCATCTGGCAGCTTAGTGTAGTGGAAAGAGCACTAACCCTGGAGCCAGACAGACCTGGTTTTGAATTCTAACTCTTCTCCTTATCTGCTGTGTAACCAGAGATGGGTTATGTGGCCTCTTTGAGCCTTGTCTATAAGGGTGTGTGTGTGTGTGTGTTTGTGAGTGAGTGAGTCATCAGAAGTGTGAGAGAGACATCATGGCTAAAGGGTCGGCTTGCGATCTGCAACATGGCAGCACGTCGGTCAATATTAGCTTCTCTGTCCTCTTCCTTCTGAGATCACAGTTCAGCCTTGTCTCCTGATTTTCTAGGAACACCTGGAAATAAACTTATTCACTTTCCTCATATTTATATTAGAGCTATACCCAAGGATCACGAGTTAACAAAACAATAACAACAAAATGGCTACCTTATTTCCTCCCGGAGAGATTTGGCTCTTAGAATCAAGGCCTTGATGGGATCCAGAAGAAGTTGGTAGTCATATGACAGATGCCTTGGCTTTGGAATCACGTCACACCGAGTTTGAACCTTGCCTGTGTGCCTCCAGTAGCTGTGTGAACTTTTGGGAGGTTTCTTAGAAAATTCTGATTAGCTTTAGCTAAAGGATGGTTTCAGTAATGCCATACTCAGGGTCCTGATTCCTCTACTGGTCAGTTAGCCCTGGAAAATAACCTGTTTAACACTGGCTTACCACTCAGGAGCTGATAAACTGCTATCGTATTCATTATCCCATTGGATCCTTAGGACCCTGGGAGATTAATTAGGAGTAAATCTTGTTATCAGGCCTGTAGTGCAGAGAGAGCTGCTGTTTCACCACTTCTCTCTGCTGCTCTTGTGCTGCAGGGAGGCAGCTGGAGTCAGGCAAGACACTGGGTGTGGGTTCACACCTCAGGTCTGCCGCTCTCTGGGTGTT